AAGAAGGATGTTTTGAAAATATGTACTACTGTTTAAATTTGGAACAATTTGAATTGTGGGTGAACCGATTGAGTTAGAATCCTGAAACTTGGATTTAGGATCACTGTTGAGGCGTAGGTTTGGATTAAGAAATTTGTACAAATGTGTACTAAATTTGGTACAATTTGAATTGCAGGTGAACCAATAGAGTTAGAATACTGAAACATGGATTTAGATTTACTGTGAGGGTGTAGGATTAAGGTATTTAGGAAGTTTTGTAATTGGTACCACTGTGTACAAAATTTGGTACAATTTGAATTGTGGGTGAACCTATGGAGTTTAAATCCTGAAACTTGGATTAAGAAACACTGTCGGGGTGTAAGATTGGGGTATTTAGGAACTTTTGGAAATACGTACTACTGTGTACTAAATTTGGTACAATTTAAATTGTGGGTGAACCAATAGAGTTGGAATCCTGAAATTTTAATTTGGAATCATGGGTGTAGGATCGGGATATGCATGAAGTTTTTTGGATGGTTGAAGAGGGTACTTATGGAAATAATGTGCGCTAAATGGAAAATTTGGATTTGGGTGAAACTTTAGAGCTCTAATAATGAAATTTGGTACTAAGTGGTATTCAAATTTAATTTATGGTCGATTTTAATGTGTGGATTGTTTTTTTCTGATATATGCAGTTTGCTGTGAAAATAAAATTATACGTTAATGCATGTTTAAATAGTTCCTACATTCACTAGCGAAGTTGCTAGTTAAGAATATTTTTTTGAGGCCTATAATAGGCCTGGTTTTTTTTTTTGGAATGGTTTTTTTTAAATATTTTTCCAGATCTAACAATTTTTTGAGGACTATAAAAGGCGTGGATTGTACAAACAATTTGTTAAGGGTCTCTATGAGGCTGGCGTTTTTTAGTGAATATTTTATTGAAGGCGGTAATAGACGTGTTCTTTGAAAGAATATTATTTTGAGGAATATGATTTATTTAAAGACCACTTTTTGAAGGCTATAATAGACGTGGATTTGTTTAAAGAATATCTTTTGGGGGTTTTTAAAGAATATTTAACAATATAATTTAAGGCCCTAACAACGTTTTGGATTTTTCTAAAACAATGCTCAAATGAATTGTACCCTTATATTTTATAGGACGTAAATATCTCCAAGTATACATTTTCTCAATAATATTTGTGTTCTCGTTTTTTAGGTTATGTTTTATTAACACATTAGTTACAGAGATAATGTTAATCACTTGGTATTTTTCACACTGAACTCATGGTCCCATGGCAACATTAATACAAATAAAAACAACAACTAGTTTTGTGACTTTGTTTGTCCCAATCGGTATTTGTTTGCTTCACAAAATTGCATAAATATTACCAAGAAAAGAAACAGAAATGCGTTCATATTTGTATTCATTGGATATCCTGCTCTTAGGATTATTAATGCTCAACGGAGGATACCACATGAACAAGCGAACCGAACGAACACCATTGTAGGGATAAGCCACATAGAACACCATTAACATATTTTCCACACTGGCAAACTGCACACATTCGTATCCGTGAAATGTGGATAGTTATGTGGTGGCGCTTTGGTGGTGGGGCCATTTTAATAAATCAACCCGAATGAAGTCATCAATAACATGAGTGAGTCCCAAACCTCCAGCAGCATCATGGAACCAATTTTCATTAGAATAGTAAAGTGGAACATTGTATTCAGACGTTTTGTGATGTTTATGTGGTTATTAACATGTGTGTGTGTTTCAGCGATCTCTTTATTTGGATTCGAATGGAAATTAGAATAATGGAATAGTGGGTTATATTCGTATTAACCTGATTGCTTATTTTAATAAATGACTATTGAATGTATCACACGCATATGTTTTTTTAAATATATGGCGTTTAAAGAATAAATGGGTATTATGTTTATAAAATGTTTATATAAAACCTAGCTTATTGATAATATTGTCAGAGAAAAATATTCGTAAGAAATTGAAAAAATATTCACGCCTTCTGTTAGGCCTTGAAAACGTATTCTTTAAAAAGCCACGCCTTGTGTCAGGCCTTGAAAAAATATTCTTTAAAAAATCCACGCCTTGTGTTAGGCCTTGAAAAAATATTCTTTAAAAAGCCAACCCTTGTGTTAGGCCTTGAAAAAATATTCTTTAAAATGAACGCATAGTCCTATGACCCTCAAAAAAATATTTTTAAAAAATCCACGCATAGCTAGATCCTATGGCCCTCCAAAAATATTCTTTAAAAAAATATTCACGCCTTGTGTTAGGCCTTGAAAAAATATTCTTTAAAAAATTGAAAAAAATATTAACGCCTTGTGTTAGGCCTCGAAAAAATATTCTTTTTAAATTCACGACTTTTTTTAGGCCTTGTGAAAATATTCTATTAAAATCCACGACATTTGTTAGGCCTTGCGAAAATATTCTTTACAAAAATATTATTTACAAAAATATTCTTTAAAAAAATATTCTTTAAAAAATCCACGCCACCTAGGCCCACAAAAAATATTCTTTAAAAAATCCACACCACCTAGGCCCACAAAAAATATTCTTTAAAAAATCCACACCACCTAGGCCCACAAAAAATATTCTTTAAAAAATCCACGCCACCTAGGCACACAAAAAATATTCTTTAAAAAATCCACGCCACCTAGGCACACAAAAATATTCTTTAAAAAATCCACACCACCTAGGCCCACAAATAATATTCTTTAAAAAATCCACGCCACCTAGGCCCACAAAAAATATTCTTTAAAAAATCCACGCCACCTAGGCCCACAAAAAATATTCTTTAAAAAATCCACACCACCTAGGCCCACAAATAATATTCTTTAAAAAATCCACGCCACCTAGGCCCACAAAAAATATTCTTTAAAAAATCCACACCACCTAGGCCCACAAAAAATATTCTTTAAAAAATCCACGAAAAATATTCTCTAAAAAATCCACGCCTCTTTTGGATCTTAGAAAAATATTCTCTCAGAAAAATATTCTGTAAAAAATACACGTCTCTTTTGGATCTCAGAAAAATATTCTTTAAAAAATCCACGCCTCTTTTGGATCTCAGAAAAATATTCTTTAAAAAATCCACGCCTCTTATGTTCGCCCAAAAAATATTCTTTAAAAAATCCACGCCTCTTATGTTCGCCCAAAAAATATTCTTTAAAAAATCCACGCCTCCTATAGACCATGAAACAATATTCGTGTAAAAAATCCACGCCTCTAATAGTTCGCCCAAAAAATATTCTTTAAAAAATCCACGCCTCTTATGTTCGCCCAAAAAATATTCTTTAAAAAATCCACGCCTCTTATGTTCGCCCAAAAAATATTCTTTAAAAAATCCACGCCTCTTATGTTCGACCAAAAAATATTCTTTAACAAATCCACGCCTCTAATAGCCATCAAAAAATATTCTTTAAAAAATCCACGCCAACTAGGCCCTAAAAAATATTTTTTAAAAAATCCACGCCACCTAGGCCCTCAAAAAATATTCTTTAAAAAATCTACGCCACCTAGACCCTCAAAATTATTTTTTTAAAAAATCCACGCCTCTAATAGCCCTCAAAAATAGCCTCAAAAAATTATTCTTAGAAAAATCCACGCCTAATAGCCCTCAAAGTTATTCTTAAACAAATCCACGCCTCTTTTGGGTCTCAGAAAAATATTCCTTAAAAAATCCACGTCTCTAATAGCCTACAAAAAATACTTCTTTAAAAACCACGCCTCTTGTAGCCCTCAAAAAAATCTTCTTTAAAAAAATCCACGTCTATAATAGCCCTCAAAAAATATTTTTAAAAAATCCACGCCCCTAATAGCCCTCAAAAAAATATTCTTTAAAAAATCCACAACTCCTAAGGACCTCAAAAAATATTCTTTAAAAAATCCACGCCTCTAATAGCCCTCAAAAAATATTCTTTAAAAAATCCACGCCTCTAATAGCCCTCAAAAAATTATTCTTTAAAAAATCCACGCCTCTAATAGCCCTCAAAAAATTATTCTTTAAAAAGTCTATGCCTCTAATAGCCCTCAAAAAATTATTCTTTAAAAAATCCACGCCTCTAATAGCCCTCAAAAAATTATTCTTTAAAAAATCCACGCCTCTAATAGCCCTAAAAATTATTCTTTAAAAAATCCACGCCTCTAATAGCCCTCAAAAAAGTATTCCCACAAAGTATACCCACAAAAAATATTCTTTAAAAAATCCACGCCTCTTGCAGTTCACGCCTTCAATATTTATACCCTTCACCACACTGTGGACAGAGTCGATTTATGCATGTCAGTCCGTTCGTCTGTCTGCCTGTCTGTCGATGTTAAATTGTAAACAAAGTTAAGTCGCATATAGTTCCCATATATATTATCGTCCCAACCTGCATCGATTTTATGGTAAATGGTGCACCAAAGTCCATACATATCATTCGATTTGCACGAAATTTGGCACAGCGTAATGAATTAGGTCTAGAATGGTTTATGTTAAGTTTCCGAAAAATCGGTTCAGATTTAGATATATCTCCCATATATATTTTTGTCCGATTTAAGGTAACTCGTGCACCAAGGTCCCTATATATCCTTCGATTTGCACGAAATTTGGCACAGCGTACTGAATTAGGTCTCTAATGATGTGTGTTAAGTTTCCTGAAAATCGGTTCAGATTTAGATATAGCTCCCATATATATTTTCGTCCGATTTTATGTAAATGGTGCACCAAAGTCCCTATATATCCTCCGATTGTCACGAAATTTTGCATGGTGTACGACGTCCGTTAGGATTCATCTGTTGAATGTACCCAAAGTGGTGAAGGGTATCATATAGTCGGCCCGTCCTACTTTACTACATTCCTAACTGGTTTTTTAATTTATTTTAAAAATATATTTTTTGTTTATTTTTAAGCTTATAAATATTTAGGTTTTCAATAAATGATAAATAAATACTTATTACCTATAAAAATAAATACTTAATTATCTAAAATCGTATTTTCCTCGCTCTCTCCACTCTCTCTTCAATCACTTTCCAATTCCTTGGAAGTCATTTCCGGTATTTCGATGTCCTTAGGTGTTGGATAGGCACTGACATTATCACGGCGTTCTTTCACCTTACCCAATACCTTCAGCATGCGAGCATAGACCAGTCGCCGCACATTAATGGCCCATAAAAAGTCCATATGATTGAATTCCTTTTGAGGTACCAGATATTTACCAATAGGTCTACCCAAATCCTTGTACATATCTTCAACATCACCAGGGTGGCAGAGTAAATCATTTTTCGAATAATAAACATAAGTGGGTACCGTCACCGCCGTTAAATTATAACGTGGTGGTTCTCGCTCCTTGTACAGCAGCATATTTTTATTTGTACTATAGCTATAGGGTGCAAATTTCCCCGTCTTAATGACCTGTATGAAATGTTTGACCTGCTTGGCTGCCACACCGGCCGGATAGTGGCCCAAGATTACCGGGAACATTTTCTGTAAGGGGATTTTTTTATTTTTTTTAATTTTTTAAATATTCATGTTCCACTTACCCTATTAAATTCATTCCAATTTCTGCCCACAATTCCGAACACAGCCTCAATACACAACCGTTCCGTTTCCTCGGTCATGCGACACAAAAACCTAAATTCATTATTGAACATTTCCGTTATGGAACTGCCAACCAGGGTCTGGAAAATTTATTTAAATTAGTAATCAAAAAATTCGATTTGTAAGACCGACCTCCTCTCAACTTACATTGAAATACAAACTAATGGCCCTA